GTGATGCAGTTTTCACATTTGTTTCCTTCAGAGAAAAGACAGATCAGTTGTTCCTGAACAAGTCAATGCAGCTCGAGACATTGTTTCTGGCATGCTTTATTTCCAGTTCAGACATCTCAATTAGGTTTTTTCTAAACGCTGCCACTCTCTTCCGTTTGAAATTTATAAGTTCTTCTTTTGCAGATTCAGAAAGCTGTTCAAATTTCTGGCAGCATTCCTGCTGGTGTGCCTCAACCAACTTGACATCTTTGCTTTTTAACCGGGCCTTATCAGGAGCTTTGAGTTCTCATAGTCAGAGGGCTCTGGTGCATCTGTATATGAGATACTCTGCAGCCTCTATGTTGAGCATGTAGTATCAGAGAAGCTCTCCCCGCTTAAGTCTTCATCTGATGAGACCTGACCCCCTACTTTGCTAAGTTTTTCAAATAGTTCAGCACCCTTCAATAGGTATTTTTTTATTTCAGTGGGTTCATCTAAAGCCAGCCTCTGCAAGCAGGCTGAAGTGTGAATATAGTCCTCAGCAACATTTTTATGAAATGTGGTCATTCTTTCAGCTTGAGCAGCAGGACCTTGGGGGTCAAGGAATAATTAATAAGGAAGTTCTTCTCTTGCTCAAAGAAGTCACCCACCCACTTAACTTCAGAAAAAAAAAAAGAACTTGATCAGCACTTTTCACCACTCTTTGAAAGAAGCCACCAAACATTTCTGTGGTATTTTTTCCACCTAATACTTAGATCCTGATATATTCCAGGAAAACATGAAAGTTGTCATCTTTACTAAGAATAGAATGAGAAGAAAACCGCGGAAGAAATACCTCATGAGAGGATGCAGTCTTCTTAAAGACTGTAAGATACTATTCAGCTTCTAGTTCTTGCTTCATCTTTGCAAATTCTTCTTAGGTCATAGACCCTTCACCCTCTTCTCAGTTTCTGCATCTTTTCTTGAGGACCACCAAAATCTGGTTTTGTAGGAGCAGCAGCAATAATGAGTCCAGCATAGTCTATGCTTTCAATAGGATCATCATGTAGCCACAGGAAGTCTTCATGTCTTGTAACAGAAAACTGGGCTCTGAAAAGTGGGCAGAGTAGTCTTGGTGTGCACTGTATACTTGACCTTCTCTCTTCTCACTGAGTGCATCAGGTAGGTCAACCTGAAGTGAGGTATCAAAATTCAGGTCCACAGACACAGACCTCAGCCTTGCTTGGCACCATGCAGAGACCACTGACTCTAGGACTATGATATGGACTGGAGCCCACTGACACTCTTCCAGGGAGGTATRCTTCGACAGAGAGATCTTGGTCATCCACGGAGCAATTAATGGCTCCTAAGTTCTCGGTTTTATAACAATAATAATGTAGAGAGAGCCTGTGAAATTAAAGAGCATCATGATGTTGGAGAAATCTTTAGCCAGACTTTAAATACTAATATGAGCAAGAAAAGCCTTTGTGGAGCTCAACCCCTATGAATATATTGTGTCTGAACTATTCTTAATAGGTCTAATTTTGTGGATGTAAATCAGACACAAACCATATGAGACTCAGGATAGGGGAAAAAAACTACATAATTGTAAGCAATCTGGGAAGTTCTTCACTGATCACTACTCCTTTCAAAGACATGGAAGGACTCAGTGGGGGGGGAGTAGCTCTGTGATTGCAAGGAATGTGGGAAATCATTTCTCCTAAAGCTACAGAAGACTTGAATTTTTCATATTAGAGATGGCATGAAAGGATTCACACTGGAGAGAAACCCTGTGAATGCAAGCACTATGGAAAAAATTCACTTCTAAAAGGTCTGAAAAACACACAATAGTTCATACTGCAGATGGACCATATAAATGTAAATTTGGTGGGAAAGCATTTAAGATTCCCTGTTCAGTTCTGAGGCATGAAGAGACTCACAATGGGGGAAAAAACCTACGAATGTAAGAAAGGTAAGAAAGGTGCCAATGATTCTGGTTCTGCTTGAGTCCATGAAAGGACTAGCGCTAGAGAGAAACTCTATGAATGTAGGAAATGTGGAAATCCTTTAGTGATTCTAGTTCTTTTGGGGTTCACGAAAGGATTCACCGAGGATAGAAACTGTATAACTATATGCAATGTGGGAAAGCTTTGTGTGGTTCTGGGTCTGAGTCCATGACAAAACTCACATTGGACAAAAACCCTACAAATATTAATAATGAGGGGAAAGCCTTTGTTCATGTTCACTCTTTCCAAGTACACAAAAGGAGGCACATAAGAGAGAAACTATGAATTCTAGGAATGTGGGGAAAACTTCATTTCTTTTGCAAACATTGGATGACACATGACTGTTCTTAATGGAGATGAACCTTATACATGGAAGTTTTGTGGGAAAGACTTTAACTTTCCCAGCTCAGTTCTCAGGCACAAAAGGCCTCACTGAAAAAAATTACTATGAATGTAAGTAGTGTGGTAAAAGCGTGAGTAGATTTACTTAGTTTTAAGTATCAGAAATAACAGTTCATCTTGGAGGCAAACCAAATTAATTGAACAAATTTGGAAAGCCTGAAAATTCTTAATTTCTTTCCAACTCATGGAATAACTCATACTGCAGAGAAATTCTATTTAAGTTGCATGAGAATCCTTTAATTTCTCTTGTAACTTCTGAAACAAAGAAACAAATGCATAAAATGCAGATGCTCCATACTTATGAAAATATGGGAAAACATTCTGTCTTCTCAGTTCAAATAAAACCCATTAAAAACTCACACTGGTGAGAAAGTCTATGAATACATGCAGTGTGTCAAAGCTGCTGGTAGCCTATACCCTTTCCAGCAGGATGTAAGCTTACATAGAGGATTGAAATACAAGTAATTATTATAATGTGGGAAGATTTTCCAATTTACTAAGTATGTTAACTCATCTGAAAAAATCACACGGTGGAGAAAGTTTTTAAATGAAGTGATTAGGAAAACTTGTTGAAAATGGATCTCTATGTATTTCTCTAGAAAATCCATAACATGAAAAAAATGTTTTGAAAGTTATAAATATATTATGTTCTACACTAGCTCAATTTTGATATATATATATATCTATGTATATTTGATTTCACTTTTTTTACAAATAAAATTAAAGTGAGATATTTCTCTAAGCAGTCTTTAAGCAATAGTAATAGGTTGGGTGTTTTTCCTAGCAATTTAATACAATTATTCTTCCATTTAATATATGTAGGTGGGTAAATTAAAGTGTTTTTCTAATATGGTGGTAGGTTTAATTTGTACATAGTTTAATTGTCTTATGATTAAAGAGATATTGTAAAATAACTTTTTGTCAGTTGTGATTTTCCTACCAGCCTATATGGCAGGCAATGGATATTTCATTTTTTTTCTTATGAAGAAAAAACTGTTTTGTAAAAAAAAAATAGGGCAGAAAAATTTTCTTGCATTTTCCATCCAATAAATTGCTGTATTCAGTTTCTAACTATGTTTATCAATTAGCCTTGTGTTGTTATTTTCATCCCTTTCAAAACTGTGTAAACTCAATTAAAATATGCAAAGTCCAAAAAAACGTGCTGAGGACTGGGGTTGTGATTAGTGGTAGGAGGCTTGCCTAGCACGTGTGAGGCACTGGGTTTGATCCTCAGCACCATATAAAAATAAACAAGTAAAATAAGGGCATGTGTCCATTTACAACTTTTTTAAAAAAGTGCTGATAAAATATTCTGTAGCTGGTGAATTTACTGGTATTCAATAAGTTCTGACATTGTGAAAGGACACAAATGTCTCTGGACTACATTAATGACATAACTTACTCAGAACAACATTGTTATATACCCTCATTTCCCACACATAACATCGCTTTCCTCTTGAATTTTATCAATGCTCCATTTAATTTCTATAAACTCCCATTCTTCCCTCAAATTTTCTGTGATACGAGAGCATTCTTACTCTTTTATACATCCTAGGCTTTCTTTCTCCTGCTGTCTTACCCCTGAGTTCTCTCCTTCCTGCATATGTGTCTAGGCCCAGGAGATGCTCTGGTGGGATAGCCAAAAGGTGAGAAGCAGATGGACTGGAGGAAGGGCCAACTGGAGTGATCCAGGCAGGAAGCAGCCCAGGTCATATTAATTAACAACTTTTACAACTCCTTATAAGGAGGGACAATTCCTGGGACAGGTTACCTTAGCAACCGATTGGAGCAGGAGCAGTCTATCTTGATAAGAGTGAAGGAAGGCCTCTGAAGGCATTAACATTTCAGTTCCTCAGGGGCAGTCTTTCTGAACCCAAATTGGTCTTCTCTCAATTGATCAGACTATTTATACTAACTGCCTGTCTTTAATTCTGGCTTCACCATGGCTAATAAGTTGCCCTAAAGAGAGGCTAGGAGGGGGGGGGGAATTAACCCTTTCCCAGGCATTGGTTCTTCATCATAATGTTCTTATAATTTCATTTTATATTCAGGTTTGGTTCCTCCATAACATTATAAAAGGTTGAGCATCTGCTCTCTGTTGTTTAAGTTTCCTGTCTTTCTTACATGTTGAATTCTTAACTCATACAGCTTTGAAAAAAATTCATGTCTGTCCTAAAATTGGACAAAACCCACCTATTCTTCCCCCACTTATGACTTTATTGTTTACTGGTCCATCATTTAATCACAGTAATATCTTGGTTCATTCTAGTTTGATAAAAAGCCATAACTGTCTAAAAATTGCACCAAATCAACTTATTCTTCCCCTGATTATGACTTCCCTTTAGAACTGGAGAGTTTTCAGTTCAGGTATGCACTGTTTTTCCAAATACCCTCCCTACCTTTTATATCTCTTCCTGCCTTAGAGTCTCCTCTGCCCTAGGGTACCCAGCTCATTGAGCACAACCTCCCCTGATGAGGATAGCATTGTGATGTAATAGCCTCACTCTTCTCTCCACCTCTCAGAATTGGTTAGGCCTGCAGTCACTGTTGTCCTCTAGACTACCACCACCTTAGGGACAGTCTTGCCTGCCTCCCACTTGGCCTTATTTGCTTTGAGTGGAGGCTCCCTGATTCATGGGGCCTGCTTGGGTCCAGAGACCCTTGATGGGAGTTCTCTGGCTGCATGTACTCTGGGTACTCCTCTGCCTTGTCTGYTGCTCCCATGACCCCCCCAAAATGGCGTTTCACATCTTCTGAGATTGTGATTCCCAAGAAGGTACCCCAGAGGAGGGGTGAAATTAAAATGCCAAACCAGCTCGCCTACAGCATTCGCTTCCGGGGCCAAAGACATGTGATCCACATGAAGCTCAAGAAGAAGTTGGTGCCCAGACATTTTCCTGTTGTTACTAATAATGACCAAGGGGCCAATCAGGAGTACTACCCATATGTCCCTCAAGATTGTTACTACTACAGCGACCTGGAAGGGGTTCCTGGGTCTGTGGCCACCCTGGAYWCCTGCTATGGAGGGCTGTGTGGCATGCTGCAGGTGGATGACTTCACTTATGAAATCAAACCATTGGAGGCTTCTTCCAAATTTGAGCATGTGGTTTCTCTGCTTGTGTCAGAAGACACAGCAGAAGAAGCTGAAAGGTGTGACATTGAATGGCAAAAGACAGATCAAGCACTTGAAGGGGTAAACTTAGCTGAAAGTCCTAGAGCAGGCCCGGCATATTTGTGGTACACCCATATGAAAAACTTGAGACTTCATTACACTGTTTGTAACTCATTAGCTCAGCAAGCCATAAACATTAGCCTTACCATAGAGAATGTAGTAATTATAAACAGCATCTTAGATACCATTTTCAAACCAACCAATTTAAATGTCTTCATACATGTTTTGTGTATATGGGATGGGTGAGATTGGGTTGACTTAGATAACAGGTACCATGCTGAACGTGCTGTAACTGATTTCGGTTTGTGGAAATTGCATGGATGGTATGATGAAATTCCACATTCGACTTTAGCTTTTTATAGGACACAGAATTGCAAGTCAAGATTATTATGCCAGCTATCGAGGAATATGCAGCCTCAACTGGGGAGTACTGTATGTGTATGCAGTAAGGTATCATATATTTTTGGCCACCACTATTACAGCTCACGCCGTTGGTCATAATATAGGCACACCCCATGATGGTCCTGGTTGTGTTTGTTTTCGAAGAAATAATTGTGCCATGGCTCCTGGGCCTGGCCTTCTAGATATGTTCAGCAATTGCTCTTATGAATATATACATGTTCATGTTCCTGGATGGGATTCTTGCTTGAGTCAGGAAAATGTTCCATACCAAAATTATCCTTATTATTCATTTCATTGTGGAGACAAGAACATAACTATAGGTGAGGAATGTGACTGTGGCTCCTTAAAAGAATGTTCCCATGATGAGTGTTGTACTAACTTCTGTGCCCCCACTCTTGGCAGTGTGTGTGATTGAGGACGTTGCTATAAAAACTGTAAATATTCCCGGAAGGAGACACACTTGGTATGTGTGACCTTCCAGAGTACTGTGATGAAGAAACAAAGATTTGACCAAATGACTTCTACATCCAGGATGGAACCCCGTGTTCACCACTGGCTGTTTGTGTGAGAGGAAACTGCAGTGACCGTGATATGCAGTGTCAAGCCCTTTTTGGATACCCAAGTAAAAGATGGTTCACTAGCAGGCTATGAAAAATTGAATGTAATGGGTGACTGATTTGGAAACTGTGGGAATAGGTTGCAACAAGGGGGAAGTAAACCTATGAAATGTGAAATAGACGATGTTTTATGTGGAATGTTGCACTGTGGTAAAATTAAATGTATTCCTGGGGGAGGCAAACATACCACATTTCATCAAATATTAGTTCACAATATCAAACCTGAAAGATACTTTGGATATGATGCACACCATGGCACAAAAATACCAGAAATGTGGCTTGTAGTGGATGATGCAACCTGTTTGAACCAGGATTGTACTTTTCATTAATACATGGGTTTTGATTGTGATGTGAACACATGCAGATTCAAAGGTGTGTATAATAACAAAAAATACTGTCACTATATGCAGGGTTGCCAGCCACCAAATTGTGAACAGAAAGGAACAGGTGGTAGTACAGATAGTGGCTTTCCACCTCAAAGACAACCACATATGCAAGTCAGAATAATTGTAACTATAAACCAGCCAGTAGTCTTTTAGTGATTTTTCATTCATTTTTTTTCCTGCTTTCAATTACTGCTGGTGCAATTATAAAACCAAAGAGCAGTATAATAAGGAAATTATGTCCAGGAGGACTTGAGAGTACTAAAGTTGAAGAAATACTAGAGAACAAAGATGAAGAAATTATAGAGACAAAAGATGAAGAAATACTAGAGCAAAAAAAATGAGGAAATAGATGAAGAAAATCAAATGAAGAAAATCACACTGGCACTTGTTGGAAAAAAATGCTCAATAATTACTCTGACAATTACACATCTTTTAGTCATTCTGAAAGTTGTCACCTTAAAATAAAACCACTGGGGTATTAAAAAATGAGTCTCTGTGTTCACATTCATTTAACACTTCATATCTGGTGTTGTGTGTTGTGTGTGTGTGTGTGTGTGTGTGTGTGTGTGTGTTGCTGGGCACAGATTCCAGGACCTCTCACATGCCAGGTAAGTGCTCTATTACTGAGTTATACCCCACATCTCTGGTCATATTCTTAATATTGGTAGAGGTGAAACAGAAACTATCAGACTCACTTGCAAGAGGAGATATGTTTGTAAAATGTGGGTTCTAAGTCTTCTAGATGCCTCTGTAGTAAATCTTAGTTGCATCAGTGTGCCTGGTTGTAACATTGTCACAGTCTGTTTCCAAATGGTAAGCATTGGGTTTTTGTTGTCCTTATTCTTTGTTCTTTTTACTGGTAGTATAAAACTAATAAACATAAAAATTGACATCTGTCAGTGATACACAAGGAGGACGAAAACTTTTACATTACAGGCATCTTGATTTTCAGGTTTTGATACCTGCTGACCAAGAGTTTATAGAAAAAGCACTAATCTTTCAGAATTTTGAGGACTAAATTTAACATGGAGACATGAAATGTACTTCTCCATAAGCAATCAAAATGGAATGATGGCACCTAAGGAAAGCCTGGAACGTTTTAGGACTGAGTACATGTGAGTGGCCATCAGTCTCATTATCTTCAGATTTATTCTCTTGTGCTAAACCTGTGATATTCTATGCATAAAGTCTTTGACACTTTGTTGATTAACAATCACATGAAAAATCATGGGCAATAATAGAACACTTCTTAATGCTTCTCATGATTGAAGTCAAAGTCATACAAAATCCCAGGAATTGCAAAAACTCAGCCCGGCTACAAATTGTAGCATGCAACTAACCATAGGGCAGGAAGAACCACGTCAGAAACAGTGTGCTTGTTAAGAGTCTGGTGGCCTTTTCAAGGGCCTCATTTAAAGGGTTTGGAGTCTGGCGGTCTTTTAAAAGGTCTCATTTCAAATTCTTCCTCTTCACAGGGAATCTGGATTAGGGTAAGTACCAGAAGGGAGAAGAAGGATACAGAAGGAGAGAATCAGTGGAGTTGCCATGGTGACATTATAGTTTGTCCATCTTTCCAGAGTTCTGTGGGCCAGCAGTTCTTGCCCAGGTGGCTTATGTGATAGAGCAGGTTGCATGCTCCTCCAAGATGGGTCTGAGTTCCTGTTTATTGAGCCCTTCTCAAATATCAGTAGCTGCATTTTCACCTAATACCAGCACCTACTGAAAGCAAGTCTGTATGACCATTTGCAAAGTAGGGATGTTTCTTCTTGATCCAAAGGCCATAAATGAAACTACAGCCTGTCATTCTCAATAGAAGGGCAGTCATACAGGTTCTGTTTGAGCAGCCTGTTTGCCAAAGCATGATAACCGTGGGCTCAGAAGCCTTCATCTTCCCCTTACCTCTTTCCTCGTTTCGCTTGGTATCCTTATGTATGTGGTTTGTGTTTACTCAGGCCTCTTTGTTTCCCTTGAGCCATTACTATGCTCTGTGGTATGGTAAGTTTGAACCAGTGTGGTTTACTTGATGTTTATCATGCAGTCTTCAAAGTAGTGACCAAGCTGTTGTACCTGGAGGCAGCTGTGATCTGCCATGTCTCTGATGTTTCTGAGTAGTATTTGATAATTCAGGTTTGGGGCCATAAATTAAAAGGCAGCAGTGTCATTGTTAAGGTGATATATGAAAAGCAGTATCTAATTGGTGCCAGATATTTGAGATAGAGTCATCATACCATTGTCAACACATTTGCATTTATTTAGTCAACACAAGGAAAGAAAACTTCAAAACAAACCTTTACAGGATTCTCCTTCCCCCATTTCTGGGACTCCGTCATATACAGTGGGAGTTAATGTTCTGAGTCCAATGGTAATACTAATAATGCATAATAGGGATATGGCAAGGAGCCAAAAAGTAGACCAGGATCAGGATAGAAGGCCTATGTAAATAGTGAGGTTATAAGAAAAAGAAACAAAGTAGATAGAAGGGAACAGGTCTTTGGAAGAGATAGAATAGGAAACCTGTTGATAGAGACCTCCAAAGACCTGTTATATATTTTACAAAATACATGTAGAAATCAACTTAAAAGAGGACAGACTTATTTGGGTTCAGAGGATTATTAGGGACTATTCTCAAAGTTTATATTTCAATAAATTGGTTAGTTTCCAAGCTGTCTTTTCTTGGTTTCTTCATATCAACTGAAATAAGCTATCCTTGGTAAGTCAYCTACCATAGTACTCTTCCCATCTCTGGAGCTACATGAATGCACAGTGTGATGCGCTCTCATAACCAAAGGAGTACTGTAGTTCAAGATCATGCTTTCTGAAATCATGACATGTAGGTATAAGTGAACAGAACTACAAAATTAGTGCCAGAACATATATCTAGTCCAGATCTTGCCAGGTGATTGGGTTGAATTGGAGTTTCTAAAGTACAAGCAGTTGGAGATAGTAGGAAAGCCCAGCTCTCTCTTTGGATTTAGGGAAATAACCTAAATTCTCTGCTTATCCAAAGAACTCCTAAAAACAAATGTAAAATACCTACTTCAATCTAAAGAAAGGTTGACCAAAAAATTATCAGAGCCTGCATCCTCCATGTTGTGAAAAAAATCTCTGAACAGCAGGAGCAGGTCTCGCTTCCCCACTGAAGGAATTCATGTTTCTCTGATACATGCTGTTCTTGACCCAAAACCTCCCAGTATTGGGGGTTTGTCACATTTCAAGTAATGGCAGTAACCTATTTAAAAATTCTCTGTATACTTGGGTTTCTCACAGAGAAGTTAAAGGCTTAATTCACTTGAGAAAATGAGGTACCATCACAAGTGAACCACCATCAGGGTTTTTATAAGACAAGAGAAATTTGAGTAACTCTTCTTGTCCTTCTAACTAAGCAGCAGATTTCACCTTAACCWCAACTTGTAGATGGAGGTTATTTATGTTTCCTTGTCCCTTGTTTAGAGTCCTCAAATTCATAACAATAGCATATCCAATAATTCATGTCCAATCCTTGTGGGTTTTCTAGGTTCTAGGTAGTCATGGGATGTGGAAAACATAGGAAAAAAAAGGAGAGGGATAAGAGAAGAAAGAAGACAATGTGAAAGAGAACACTCAAGATATGGTGCATTTTGAATCTTTTTGCACCCTCCATGCCTTAGTCAGCTTTAGTTACTGACAAAATACGTGTAAAATTCAACTTAATGGAGGACAGACYTATTTTGGTTCAGAGGACTTTTAGGGACTATTTTCAAAGTTTATACTTCAATAAATTGGAAAACCCAGAAGAAACAGATACGTTTCTAGACGCATAGAACCTGCCAAAATTATATCAAAAAAGACACAGAAAACCTCAGCAGACCAATAACCAGCAATGAGATAGAAAAAGTAGTCAAAAGCCTTCCAACAAAGAAAAGCCCAGGACCCGATGGATTCTCACATAAATTCTACCAGACCTTCAGAGAACAACTCATGTCAGTGTTCCTCAAAATGTTCCACAAAATAGGCAGGAAACACTTCCCAACTCATTCTATGAAGCCATTATAATGCTTTTCCAAAACCAGATAAGGACACTTCAAGGAAATAAAACCATAGACCAATATGCTTGATGAACACAGATGCAAAATTTTTAAATATTAGTAAATCATATTGAAACTCACATTTAAAAGATTGTACATCATGATCAAGGTTGTCATTCAAGGGATTCAAAGATTGTTCAATATATAGAAATCAACAAATGTAATTTACCACATAAAAGAACTAAGGACAAAAAATCACAGAGTCACCTCAATAGATGCAGAGAAAGCCTTCAATAAAATACCCATTTATAATAAAAATTGAAGAAAATAGGGCTATACCACAAACCCAAAGCCAACATAGTAGTGAATAGGGAAAAACTGAAAGAATTTTCATTAAAATCCTGAACAAGACAAGGACTCAACTCTCACCAGTCCTATCCAATATACACTAGAAATTATAGCCAGAACAATTCAGTAAGAGAAGAAAAWAAAAGGGCTAAAAATAGGAAAGCAAGAAGTCAAATTATCACTGTTTGCAGATGATAAAATTTGTTTGGGAGAAAAAAGAAAAGAAAAAAAAAAGACCTAGAATAACCAAAGTAATTCTAAGCCAAAAAGTAGTGCTTCAATTTATATTATAAGCTATAGTAACAAACTGCATGATTTTGATTATTTTGAGTTGACTTTTGTGCAGGTTGAGAGATAAGGATGTAGGTTCGTTATTCTACATATGGATAACCAGTTTTCCCAGCAACATTTTAAAAAGGGTGTCTTGTCTCCAGTGTATGTTTTCACATCTTTGTCAGGGATTAGAGCACTATATCTGAGTGGGTTTGTCTCTTGTGTCTTCTGTTCTTTTTCATTAATTTACTTGTCTGTAAGGAGGCACAGGTGATGCTGGTTGGAATCTCTTCTGAATAGACTGGAATTACGTGTCTCTGCCTGGCACTGGGACCGTTCCAGAGGCTCTATCTTGCAGGTGCTGGCCTGGGAATGGGAGCTGTTAAGACCTGTTCACTACTGGGTTTTACCAGTCCAGCACTTAGTTCCAAGACAAAGTCCTGTACTTTCTACCCCATTATTCACAGCAAATGGAATCTTGC